TGAGAGTGAAAAGGTAATGCTTCCCATATACTACTCAGGCCAGTCTTTTGACCTATGGGTTAGGTTTATTAGTGATAGGATCTATATTAAATTCCTATAAATTGTAATAAAAGAGGAAGAGGAAAGATAAGAAGTAGAATGATGTTAGAAGACAGCAGAGTCAAGATTATATGCAGTAGTCACAATTTCTCTCAGTTTTGTTTCTTTATCTGTGCGCTTGGGAAATAGACAATGACTTCGAAGGCCCCTTGCATTCCAGCTTTTTGATAACCCATGAGAAATAAACATATCCACTGACTTAGGCCACTTGAACTATCCTAATAAAATACCTTAGTGTAGATAATTTATAAGCAATAGAAATTCACAGTACTACATTTAATAAGTGGAGAAAAGATCAAGGTGCCAGCAGATCAGGTGTTTGGTGAAGGCTATACTTCAAAGAAGGCATTCTTTCCTTATGTCCTTACATGATGAGAGGACAAGGCAGCTCCCTTCAACTTCTTTTATAAGGGGTCTAATTCTATGCATAGAGTGGCCCACCTCTTTTTTTTTTTTTTGGTACCGGGGATCAAATTCAGGACCTTGTGCTCACAAGGCAGGCGCTGGAACCACTGAGTTAAATCCCCGGCCCTGGCCCACCTCTTAATACTGTCACATTGGGAATTAAGTTTCAGCATATGAGTTTTGCAAGAAACATACACTGATACCACAGCATCTACTTTAAGTAACTTTATCCTTGACACTGTGTATATGTATATACTAGGAAATATATATAATGTTATACATACATTAAAAATGTTTTAAGAAACAATAAACCCATAGGTTTTTTCTTTTCCTTTTATCTTTTAAGCCATCAAGTAGAGCCATCCCTATTACTGAACTGACCAATATAGTTGTTATGATCGTTAAAATACTTTTTGCTAATCTTAAATTATGTGATACTCTGATTCTCCTTTGTTACCTGTATTGAACAACTGTGAGGAAATATCTGTGAGTGAATATAAAGATAGAACTGAAACAATAAAGTTCCATTCCCTACCTTGCAGGGGTGTGAAAACTAGTCCACACACCCAAGCTGTGTGCACCCTTGGGCCTGTGAATGCACATGCAGGGGGGAAGTGGACCCAGGGACAGGCCCACACAAACTGGAAACAGGGTTAGTGTCATTTGGGTAGAGAATGCCAGAATCCTGCTTATTCTTAATATGGAAAAAGCATTTCTCCAATGGAAATATAATGTGAATCCCGTATGTAACTTTAAACTTTCTGCTATTCATGTTAAAGGAAGTAAAAATAAATAATGAAATTAATTTTAATACTGTTTCATTTAATCTATCAAAATTATCACTTCTAAAAACTTAATGAGGGTTGAGGATTTAGCTCAGTGGTGCTGCCACTTGCCTCACAAGCGCAAGGTCCTGAGTTCGATACCCGGTACCGAAAAAACTTAATGAGATAGTTTATATACTTTTTTTGGTACTAAGTATTTGAAACTTCCCTAGATGTTGAAAAATCCAAGATCTGAAATGCTTTAAAATCTGAAATTTTTTCTGTGCTGACATGATGCTCCAGAAGGTTTGGATTTTGGAGTTTTGGATTAAGGATGTTCAATTGGTAAATCTGTACAGATATTCCAAAATGTAAAAAGCTCCAAAATCAACTGGTTAAGGGATATTCAACCTAGCTGGGTATGGTGGCACATGCCTGTAATCTCAACACTGGGGAAGCTGAGGCAGGAAGATCACTGCAAATTTGAGGCCAACCTGGGCTACCTAGTGAGTTCAAGTCCAGCTTGAACTACACAGAGCGACCCTGTTTCAAAAAACCAAAAATAAAAAAAGAGGTGCTCAACATGTATGTATTTTATACTCAGAGAACATTTCAGTTTGGGATATTCCCATTTCAGGTGCTCAGGATTCCCTCTGAGGCTCGTGTTTTTTATTGGCTCTTGTAGTTACAGGGGAAGGGACCTGGCACTGTTCTGTAGGGAGTACTTGGCCCAAGTTTGAGGGTCATCCTCTTTACATAAGTCCAGCAGTGTTTTGTCATTGAGTTGATGAAGGAAATAATTGCACCTCTTTATATTTAGAGCTGGTAGCCATTTCAAAATATGGTAGATGCACACATAAAATGAATGGGGGATACTTGTTAAGAGGCATTTTCTCTCAGCTTTCATTTAAGACTTTTAACTGTGGCTTACTTTGCAACTTACTCTGTTTTTCTTTTTTTTTTTTTTTTGATAGCAGAGATTGAACTTGGGTCCTTGCACTTACAAGGCAGACAGTGGAACCAATGAGCTGAATCCCTGACCCCTCTCCTTTTCTTTATACTTAGCAGTAATAGAGTCCTAGTAAAATTGTCTGCATAAATGTCCCACTCTGTTCCATTATTAACCTATGCTCCTCCAAAAGCCAGTGCTTCTGTTTCCCATCTTCGGTAATTACTGACTGAAATTTTCCTGTTCCCCACTTTCTGAAGAGTCCATGTATTGGGCTGTGTAATATCTAGTGGATCTTTTTCTTCCTAGACTTTAAAAAGTTAGACTTAATAGCATGCAGATTTTAAAATTGTGGACTATTCTAGCAAATGAGGAAAATTATCTAGAAAGTGAGGTACTTGGGAGAGAATTAGCAGTCTCATCTGTAGTGACCAGGACAAGCATTGTATCCCAAGTAGAGTTGCCACATTTATGAGGGGAAGAGGGGTGGTGGAGCAAGTGCAATTTAAATTTGAATTTCAGATAATGAATAGAAAATTGTTAGTACAATATTTGGGACATACTCATAATTAAAAATTGTTTCTGAAATTCAAAATTTAACTGGATATCCTATATTTTATTTGGCAATCCTATTTCAGGACTTGTTTACCCTCTCAGAAACTGAGGCCCAAGCAGTTTGTACTTATGTGGATCATATATGCTTATATTTTACTGAATTAGAATTTAACCTGAGATATTTTAATATACATTAATTCATTTAAACAATGTTAAAATAACATTGTTGTTGTGAAATAATTGTTATAAAACAGTGAGAAGAGTGTCATTATTTTATACTTCTGCAAATCTTTTAGTATCTGGGTGGAATTTTGTGTCTTTATGCATGTGTGCTATTGCAAGGATATGTACTATCTAGAAATCCTACTGAACACTTGAAAGAAAATGAAAATGACAAAAATCAAATGAGATCTTAGTATTGTCATAAAATAGGTTTTTGTTGTTTTGTTTCATTTTGTTTTGTTTTTTGAGACAGGGTCTTGTTATGTAATTCAGGCTAGCCTTGAACTCACTATGTAGCCCAGGCTGACCTGGAGCTCTCAGCAATCCTCCTGCTTCAGCCTCCCACGTGTTGGGATTATAGGCATGCACCACCATGCCTGGCCTATGAAAATAGTTTTGACCTTGGGGATTTTCTCAACAGGTCTCCCAAGAATGCTTTGAGAACCACTGGACTAGGAATAATAAACCCTGTAATTCTAGATTGTGTTTTATAAATCATAGGTAATCAGAATAGAGGATAAGTATGTTTATTTTACAAGGTCTAATGGATCAAAGTATAAAATGGAAAACAAACAACTTAAAGGGATTATTCAGGTTTTACAGTAATTCTTTCACTTTTTTTTTGGTTCCGGGGGATCGAACTTGGAACCTTGTGCCTATGAGGCAGGTGGCAGCACCACTGAGCTAAATCTCCGGCCCTCACTTTTTAAAAATTTGAAATACCGTTAGGTCTATACTTACTGATATAAAAAAAATGGCTATTGTAAATAAAGATATAAAAAACAAAGGTAACACTTTGAACTTCTCAAATAGGTGCATTGTGAGCTTGCTGTGTAGACTAAACTTTTACTTATCTTTTTAGGATAAGGTTTAACATTTTAAAATATTAAATAGGTCACATGATAATTTCTTTAAAATGCTGGTTGGGTTGAATTGGATCTAGTTTTAAGATGTATGTATATACATACATACTTATCTAGTATTAGGCATGGGCAGTTTTAAAAAGAATTAACATAATGCAATAACTGATCTAATTCTCATCTCATATAGAAATAGTGTAGAGATTGGCAGTGGGCCAAATGTAAGAATGCACAGAGAAGTAAAAAGTAAACATAGGTTCTGCAGTTGCTTCAGTTGCTTGCGTAACTGAGAAAATGAAAGAGCCATTAACAAAAATAACCAGGAAAGGGAAGTACTAGGATGGGATGAAGGGAGCAAGTTCAATTTTAGACAGGAAATGTAGGGTGACTCAGGAAATGAAATGGCGTGTGATAGCATTGAGTTGTTCACATAGCAGTGAAATTTCCTAGGAAAACAATATAGAATGAGAAAGAAACTAGCAAAGAATGTGTAAGAAGTACTTTGGGTTGGGAAGAGGAGAGGTAGAAGATGACGACTAGGGAGAACCAGGAAGAGGCCATGTGAGAAAAATGTTGCTACCGTGAAATGAGAACTTTTCAAGAAGGGCAGCAGTATCAATTTGCTGTTCCCTGGGGTCCAGGAATGGTAGTAATTGGCTCTTCAATTTGGAATTACAAAGTCTTGGCTACCTTGGACAACATCATTTGTCATTTAGTTTTGAACTTAAGAGAACAGAAGCAGAAGTTTTTGACTTGTCTGAAATAACAGAATCCATAAGAGGTATGATAGCTTACCAGCTCTGCCTGTTCTTTGTTCTTCTTCACCAAGATCATTTACTTGGGTGTTAATTATGCAAGCTGAGATTTAGCTAAAAAATTACTGTACCACAACTCACTTCCTCAGATATTTAACTTTATTATAAACAAGTTTGTTTCTAAATATAAGGTTTACATTTTAGATAAAACACTGGTTTTAGAGTCAGTTGTACATTCTAACTCTGCTGCTCCCTTAAACTGAGTGCTCTGTTGTTGTCCCAGTTGTATTTGGGAGTTGGACTAGATTATTTCTACAGTTGTGCTAAAACTATGTGATGTTATACACCTGTGACATTTGTCCTTTTTTTTTCTTTTGTGTTACTGCAATAGGTTCACCAAGTTGAAGAGTCTTAACCTTTCCAATAATCATCTAGGAGACTTCCCCTTAGCAGTCTGCAGTATTCCAACTCTGACAGAGCTGAACATGTCCTGCAATGCCCTGCGAGCAGTCCCGGCCGCTGTGGGGGCAATGCACAAGTGCGTACTTTAAACCTCACTGTGGAATCTGTGTTGGGTTCTAAGAATGTGAGATTAGTTAACCTGTTATGTTGGTCCAGTAAGTCTTGGACACAGATCTAGAGCTCAAGCTTGTGTAGAGTTCATTTGTTAATATTCAAACTCTTGAAAATCTTTTAAAAATGGAAATATCCTGGGTAGAACTAAAGATCCCTCTGGATGAGTGCCTTTAAATGTGTAGGACTGGGTTATTTTCTGATTTTCTGAGTTGTTTTGAATTTAATAACTTAAAAATAACTTTAAGAAATAAGGAAAGATGAGTATTTGGGCTACTTCACATCGCAGCTTAGGTTTTTTCCATTTATACCTACCCAATTGAGAAAATTGGTCATAATTTTCCATACTATCAACTTGTGTATTGATAATGAATATGTAAAAAGTATACTTATCTTCATAATTCTTAATGTTTTCTTTAATAGTTTGCAGACTTTTTTGTTGGATGGAAACTTTCTCCAGTCCCTTCCTGCTGAGTTGGAGAACATGCACCAGCTCAGTTATCTTGGACTTTCATTCAATGAATTCACTGACATTCCAGAGGTATTGGAAAAATTAACTGCTGTGGATAAACTCTGTATGTCTGGAAACTGTATGGAGACCCTTAGGCTACAGGCTTTAAGAAGAATGCCTCACATTAAACATGTGGACCTAAGGTAACAATTTTTGAGAAATATATCCTATTTGAATGGTTGGCTAATATTTGTGGAGTAGGTTGTAGCCTTCTCGGTGAGATTAGCCAAAGCATATAGGCGGATTAAACTAGGACATATTTTTCTATTTCTGCCTAGAGAGAAGAAGAATGATTAATAGTAGAGTTTGCTTCTAAGTGAAACTGGTTTAAAAAAAATTCTCTTAACTTTGCTTTTGCAGATTTGATGTTTTTATTTTAATCTGTATAAATAGGACCTTTGAATCAGATTTTTACAGCAAATGAAAATGATATTGTTGAGAGCAAGTGGAAATTTTTCTCTTAGTCCTTTGTATCTGTAACCTATCTGAGGCATTTGACATCATTGAGCATCTCCCTTTTCTGAAATTATTTTCTTTCCTGCACTTGCTTAATAGATTTATCCATTAAATAAAATATATTTATTTTACTTCTTTAATTTCCTGTCTTTCCATCCAAAGTGTTCTGACTTTAGTTTACCATTCTTTACAAAAATTTAAATCCAGTAATTTTCTATCAGATTGAAGTTTGGCTACGGCCTCTACTTTCACACCCTGCAAGAACAGAGAACTTGCATTTTGAATCCTGATCACAATAAACCCTCACTGGACAATCCTTGCTACATGATAAATGCTTAGCATCCATCCTTTCCTATGTAAGATTTAGTTTTATTTTCTAACTGTTAGAGAACCAGTGTATGAGGAGAAAACCTTTTAAAACCTCTTTTAAGAAAAAACAAGAGCCCACTGTGGGCTTGAGTTTTTGGAAAGCAGCATACAGGCGTTAATTCTTAATGCTAACTTGCCCAATTTGATTCTTTTTCAACAAATTACCCCTTCCTCATTATCCAGGTTAATGACCATATACTAGCCAAGTTAAATCTTCAGCAGTTTATGCTGAAGATTGCAATTTTTGAAATTTTACATGAGATTCATATATGTTACCTAGAAAAATTTAAGGAACAAGAATTTGAAAGGAAAATTTATATTATGTTCCACTGTTACAGGCATTTGAAAAATGGAACACTAAGTATTAATCACTATTAACACTAGGTTAATCTCTGTGCCTTTGTTCTTATCTGTACATTACAGTTAATGACAAACTAATTCCTATGGTTATGGAGAGAATTGAGTTAAATTGGCTAGCACTCCCAGCAAGCATTATATTCTGATACTACCTGACTGAGGTCTTTTCCCCACTGTGGAACCTACTCAACTGTCATTCTTAGCATATTTACACCCTCTTTGTTATAGATGGATCTGTCCTTGTTTTAGTTCACAGATTCCTCTCTATTACTAACCCTTACTCAGGCTTGTCCAGTTGCAGCAGCATAAAGTAGTGGCATGCTTTGCTCCTTTTTCTTCTCCTTTTTTTAAAAATAAATTTTATCCCATTCCTCCCTTTCCCTTGTTCCCCCTCCCCTCCCTATGTACAAAAGTGTTGTTCCCATTTTTCCCTTCTATTTTCGCTTTCTGTTCTTGCCTTGTTTCTTCTCCTTTATTGTGGTTTGGTTATATCCCAGTCACACAAAGAATTGCTTGACTTCATCTTTCCTCGGACTAAAAGAATCAAGCCTGTCCTACTTCGTGAAGTGAGCAATTTGCAGATCTAGAAATCTTAATTTGAGAAATACAAATGTTCTGATTTATCTGACTTTGAAAACTTACTGAAATGAGACAGGATCAGGAATGAAACACTTTGTCTTGTTAATATTATTTGCCTCTGAGTCATTTGGATGTTGAAAACCCTCATACTCCAAAATTTAGGCCCTTTTGTATTCAGTCGCCTAGTGATATTAACTTTCTAGATTCAAAGATGATGTGTTGCACTGATCTCAGGGAACAAGCATAAGATGATTTCTGAGTTACCTAGTACATATAAAAAGACATCATTTTTTTCTTGATCTGAATTAACTTATGAGCAAGATCAATGTAATGTGTCTAGAAGTAACATATCTTATTAAGAGACTTACAAATTCTTCAGATTTCTAGTTCTAACTTGAATCTTTTTAAAGGACATCAGATATAGGATATTTAAATACCAGAATATACATTGGACACTGTCTGAATGTTAAATGACTGTGAGTAGATAACTACTTCTCTCCAGGCTCCTGAACTCAGGAGGGAAAAATCTGGCCTGATTTGCTTGCAATTCTGCCTTGCTACTTTAAATTGAAGCTAGTGGAATAATTTAAGAGGCATTTCATTTAGTTTCTCTAAATGAAGGGCTGGTTTTATTGATTGAGTTTCTTCTTTCAAGTGAAAATGTTATAGCAGATTAAAAGTGATCATTTTTCTTTTAATCTTATTTTTCCTTGCATTAACAGTCTTTGAATCTCATATTACTTCTGTGGCATCATTAATCGCTCCCTTCCCCTGTGCGGCTGCTACCCAGTTTTCTTTCCTCGATCACTTCTTTTTCTATCTGTATTTTCTGTCTTAGTGGTTGTATGTACTTTCAGGTTTCATCTTTGACCTCTCATCTCTGTGTTAATCATTCCTCAGTCTTTCCCCTAATCCTTCTTGGCTTCCAGCTAGATAATTTCTCTTTGATTTATTGTATTAATAACCTAACCTAATACATGTGAAACAGAGGCCCAATTTCTTTCTTTACTCAACCCCCTGTATTCCTGTTTTGGTGATAGTAATACCACCTCATTGGTTATCCAGTCACAAAACTTTTGGCTCTTAGAGTCTTAGACTCTACTTAGTCTTCAATCAGTTCTTTTAAATCAGTTTGTCTTTCATTTTTTTTCTTCTTACTGCTACTGTTGTCCCCTAACTGAACCAGTTGCTTCCATTGTGCAGCCTCTCATGTAAGCACAGTCTTGCTCACAGCCTTTGATTCTCTAGTTCAAGGTATTCAAGCTTTCCTCTCTGGCTTCAGCCTGCTAGCATATGACTCATTTGAAGGTGAGGCTCTAACTCAGAACTGCTCAAGTGTGGCCCTCTAGCCCGGAACAGCACTACTTTCTATAATGAGATGTGTATAAAAACTGTGACTGGTATTTTGGAAATGTATGATGATTGAACATTGAGATAATATTCTAGTGCTTTATGATAGACTCATTGTCAGGGAATTGACTAGTTTAGGTGTTGTCAGACTTGCATGTGGTATGAGCTGTATTCTGGCCAGGTGCAGAACTACACACCTGTCTGTGATGAATTAGAAGTTTAGGAAATAGAGCACTATTCTTATTTATCCTTAGTGCCCCCAGTGTTTGCACTTAGGTACAGTTGTTGATAAGTATTGCCTGACTGATACACCTTTCTGTCCCTATTACCACTGTTCCCACATACCCTTCACTCAGGCATGAAATGCACCATTCTCTTCAATTCAGACACTACTCTCCTGCTTCCTGTGGACTGCTTTTCTTCTCCTGTTTACATCTGTCAAATTTCCCTACCCTTGGAATTTAGATGCGTCCTTTTCCATGACATTCTTTGTGACTGTTCTATGTGTTTCATTCATTATTATGGTATTTATCGGTGCTTGTCATTTTTATATTGGAACTAGAAACTATAACTGATTCTCCTCAGTAGATTATGAAATCCTTTGAGAAACATCTCATTTTAATCATCCCTTGTTATTGCCATAAAGCCATAGGTTGTCATCGTTGTCATCACTATTAAAGCTCTGTACAGTTTACAAAATACTGGCAAATATATTACTCATTTCATTTTCTTAATTACTTTGCAGGACAGTGAAAGTGTTTTCCTCATTTCAGAGATTAGAATTAGGCTCAGAGGTGTTCGGTGACTTGCTCAAGGCTCTGTGTAATGTTGAGCAGACAGCTGAGGCTAGAGCATAATACTTGAGAGTGTCCTTCTGTATGTGGGGACTTCTCAGTAAATATTTGTGAAATAAAAAAATACTGTATCAATGGAAGATGTTATTGGAAAGGAATTATAACCACATTTTGCCTCTTTAAAAGTTTATCCTAAATATGTCTATTATTATATAAGCCTAAAAACTTTTGATTTTGAATCATAGCTGGAGTTAGCAATTTAAGATAAATAATGTGAAAGTTAACTTTCCTTTTCTTCATCATAGATTTTCTATTGTTTCCTCATTAAATCAACACATTATTTCTAGTAGTAATATAATGACATTGTGAGTATGTGTGTGTGTGGCTGTTTCAAATGAAGGTGTAATGCCATTATGAAAGTTAGTCAAAGTAGAGTTTGGGAAAAAATGGAAAAAAATTTAATTCCTACAGCCTGTTGTCTTCAAAATGAGGTTTGTTTTTCCTTTTTTATGCAGTGTTACACATTCTAGTAATCTAGTGAACATTTGGAAATAAGCAAATCGCTGGGCAGAGGCCAGTTTTTAAATCTTACAACCTAGGACAAAAAAAGAGAAGGATCCAAAAACATCATCTTGGGGACATTTGAAGAGGCCATATGCTGTGCTTGCATCTTGATGAATCCTAGCTCTGTGCTATCACTCATCCTTGTGTTTCTATGGCTTTATAATATTGCAGTTAATCACTTACGTAATTTTATTTTGCTAATGGGCAGAAATTGAGTACATACATAGAACCTTTGGCTTTTTCCTAAACTCTATCCTTAATATCAGTGCTTTTCTAATCAAGTACATGTTTTCAGCACTTAACATGCTTATTGTAAGAAGTAGAGAGTTTTTGTTGTTGATTGTTTTTAGAGAAGTTAGGCATAGCCTATCACGCTGGGAATTGAGATTTTCATTTTTTCTTCCTTTTGAAGCTAACTTTATCTTTGTTATATTGTTTCCTAGTCTGCATTACTACTTGTCTTCTGGGAGCTCATTCATAGCAAAATCAGTCAGTTAGCTAACTAGTTTTCACAGCTAGAGATTCTGCCAGTTTTTCCTGATGCTTTGCTCTATCCTAGAATTGTTCGTCTCCATTGTTGTCCCTCATTTTATGATTTCTCAGTGAATCCTAAATGTTAAATTTCAGACTTTCTGCACTTTGCTCTTTCATTTAATAATAATCCGAGTCTTGGTCTAGGGCAGTTGAAAATCTTTCTATTCTCAGCTCTGGTGCTGTCATTCATTATGCAACTTGCATTCATTATTTTTTCCTACATTCACCTCTTAATTCTATCATTTATGACTCTCCATCTACCCACTCATCTTTTCTCCTTCCTTGAATATTCAGTGTAGTTTTAACGTGTTTAATATGTTGTCTTGTGTTTTTTCTATTATGATTTCAGTACTTTGACAATTTCCTCTCGAAATGAATTAGTGTAGAATTGCTATACTCCTCTCCCAGCCTTAATCACTTAAATTCTGTTTTTGAATGTATTGTAAAAGCTAAGACCTCTTAGAATTGTAGCTCAAAATAGCCAGACGCTAAGATTAAAGAACTCATAAAGAAGTATAATACAGTAAGACCTTTTCATCACCCTGTCATGTTAGGGTATTGCTGTTTGTTTATAGCATTACAGTTAATTGTGATCTCTGTGTCCTTTTCCTCAAGATTGAATATAATTAGGAAACTTACAGCAGATGAAGTGGAGTTTCTGCAGCACATCACTCAGCTTGATCTTCGAGACAATAAACTTGGTGATCTAGATGCTATGATTTTCAACAACATTGAAGTTCTACACTGTGAAAGGAATCAGTTGGTGACGCTAAACATTTGTGGCTATTACTTAAAAGCACTCTATGCTGCTTCTAATGGTATGTAATGTAGACATAACATCAAAGCTGGTCTTTTTCAGTTCTTAGAATTTACCTGGTACTGTAATCTCTGCTTCTCTGATTTTTTTTCTTTCCTCATTTAATTAGTAAAATGTATCAAGTTTTACCAAAAGTCACAAAGAAGAATGCTGGTTTGATGTTTAAGGGAATCAAAAAAGAAAATTTTATTGTTTCTGACTTGGTTTTTTTCATGTTATTTAAATTACTCCCACGTTGATTTGTTTCTTGTGCTTCAAGTGAAGGGGAAAAATGAACTATTTCTTGGACTGCCTTGTTAAGGTAGAAATCAGGAGTGAAAGGAAAACCCATTGTGGACTCCATTCAAAACTTGCACTTTCATGTTTTATTAACATATAGAAACACCATAAAACAAGAGTCTTAATCATGTAGTAAAATCTCTTCCTTGGAATTTGAAAATCATGGCTGGCCCCAAAAAGAAAAGGTCATACAGGCATGCATTTGCTAAGGTGACAGTCTCTGTCCCCTGCAGTCAGCAAACTGAATAAAAACAAGTATTTAGTACAAGTTATACAAATGTTTATCAACCAACTTGCTCTGTGCTTTGTATAGCTCATGCATTTTAAAAGATAAGGGATCTTTTAAAAATATACTTACTGTCATCTCATTGGAAAAATAAGCCAAAAATTAAATAGATATAGGATATAGATATAAATACATAGATATCAGTTTGGGTGAGCAGTGAGGAGTTGCAAGATTTGAATAAGTAAGGGCATATAAAACGGGAGGAAGAAATCTGAATGTGGCTTGTTCAGCAATTTGGGGAGAAAACAGGCAGTTCAAAGAATTATGGGATAATGGCTTGGAGTCAGGTGGTAAAACATTGGACCTCGTTCAGTAAACTATAGAGAACCAGGAAAGATTCTTAAGTAGAGGAGATGTGTGACAAAGCAATGCCTTCAGTGTGCTGATATGAAAACAGTGTACAGATGTTTTGATCGGAGAAGAATGAGAGAGTCCCCAACTCTGTTAATCCACATTATTGGGATGGGCTTCGTGTAAGGTAATGAGAACTTGTAGCCAAGGCTGCATATGTTGATTTGAGACTCATCTGCATCTCGGTGAGTACATGAAACTATTCAAATTAAAATAACTGGAAGAAAGAAGAGAGCTGGTACAGCAAGTCAATCTCCAAGTCCCTCACAGGTAGTAGGGGCCAGAGTAGGCAGCCAGATTAGGAGCTGAGCCTGTGAATCACTTTGCAAATGCAGCAGAACCCTTGGAGTGGACAGTGATGTCACATTTCATAAAGTTCTCAAGAGGCTGCAGATTTGAGTAGAAGAACGAACTCCTTTTTGTCCCTCTGGAGTGGTGATACTGAACTTAGAGCTTTCAGTGATACCAGCAGCCCACTGTGGCACTCGTGCTGTAGGTTCACCACCACTGCTCTAGAGAGTGCTGTTTCAGTAGAGTGAGGAAGGCAAAAGCAAGATTCATTTGGGTTTTTGGAATGAACATTTATAAAATTTTGTTATTAAATTAGAAGTTCTCATTATTTTCCTATAGTTTCTGAGTTTACAAGTATTTTGTATTTTCTAAACAAATAGGGAATAGTACATTAGAAGTTCCCTTTATGTTCCTGTAGTTTACAAATTTACAAGTGTATTGTACTTTTTAAACAAATAGTAGGGGATAATGCACAGCATTTATTCTTCCTACAAAATGAGTCTTTCTGTGTCACTTGGATAGTAATGTTTTTGTGGATTTTTTCCCCTCCTAGAACTTGTTCGACTTGATGTTTACCCAGTTCCAAATTATCTGTCCTACATGGATGTTTCAAGGTAAGAGGATAAGTCTTAGAGTACTCTTGGCTGTACTAGAAAATCATTTCGATTTTTTTGTCTGAATCTATACATAAGCAATCTTACTAGATTTTGAGGGAAATTTAAAGGTCTCATCCTCCAAAACTGTATATAATATCTGTCTATTAAAAGACATTTGTGCATTGTGCTTAATACAAGAATAATTCAGGTGTCATTTTGGGAAACAATCTAAGTACTAGGTTTGAGTTTGAAAGATTAGTGAATTGAGGGTTATGACTTAGAAGTCCAGTAGCTCTTTAATTTTGTGAACCATGCTTTATACTTTTCCCCAAAATATTACCTACTATTTTTCTTTAGATTCCCTTTTTTATTTTATACTGTATTTTTTTTGGTACCAGGAATCAAACTCGAGTCCTTGCGCTTGCGAGGTAGAGGCAGGCGCTGGAACCACTGAGCTAAATTCCCGGCCCATATACCATATCTTTTTGCCAAGAACGTTTAGAAAATAGCCACTGAATCCACTCAGTTTTCTTAACTCCCCCCCCGCCCTGCCCCCATACTGGAGATCGAACTCAGGCTCTTAGGCCTGCGAGGCAGGAGACGGAACCACTTCTTAACTCATTTTTAATAGGTTTGCCATCTTACCTTTTATGCAGATTGACTTCTGCACTGTATCATATTTATTTTTCCTAATAACACAAAGGTATGGCTTTATGTACAGAATGTAATTATATAAATTGAACTTTAATAATTTTAACACATTAAAATTGAAACTCATTTACTGAAAATTTCAAAGGAAATAACCAAGAATTTCTGAACATGTGGGAGTCTGGCTCTCAGAATAACAGCTGTTGTCATTTCACTATGTATGTAAATTGTGATACATTTGTTAACAGTCACCATACTCTAATCACAACTGCAGTGTGATTTAAAATATATGTAATTTTGCCTTTGTCTATGAAAGTGCATAAGCTTAGCTGTTTTAATAAGAGAATCATAATTACGTGAAAATATGTCAGTATTTACCTATTAGAAATTAAGTTATAATTTTATTATAAAATTTCAATTACAAAATTCTTTGAGTAGTTCTTCTTTCATTTCCCACTAAATACATATCAAACAATATTATTTAATGAACTATAGTTAGACATTATCTGGTTAAGTTCCCCTCCTCCAAACACTCCTATCATTTTCACCTTTTAAGTAAGAACAGGCAAGAGTGGGGTTTGTATACATGGATTCATATTTATGTCTTGCACAGATTTGTATCACAGAGTTTGCCACAGAATGAATCTATTTTTCTTTTATCTATAGAATGTAATTGGCATATGGTACCAATTGAAAGCCTTAAATCAGACTGAATTAAAAACCCTTGTGCCATCCTTGTCTCTAAATTCTGCCGCTTAAATGTTACTCGCATTCTTTTTGTAACTCTGATTCCCAGATCTTCACTAGAACATTTTTGCCCCATCCACCTTCCAAGCTGTCATCTGTGATAGGATTTACTAGGTTCTTAGAGTTTCTAGAACAAGTTCTAAATCAGTTTATCATTTATAGTTTATCATATTACTGTATTTAGTTTTGTATATTGAGGTTGTTTTTACAAAGGATGATTTTCACTGTCTTGTTAAGATATTTTAGGGGTTGGCTACTGTAAAATAAAATAATTAATCAATCTTCAGGGCTTCAAAACCAGAACAGTATGTGTATATAGACAGTAAGTAGAAAATGTCTTTTAGTTCTGTATTTTGGTTAAAAAAAATTGATAGCCAAGTCATAAAACATGACTTTAAGATCATGCCTAATTTCAGCGCCTTAATATCGTGTCTCTTTTCCCTTTCGTTGTAATATATTATAGTTCTTGTCTCAAGCATCCTATGTAATAAAGAATTGTAGTCAGATGATGTAGCTCAATGGTAGACCACTTGCCTATTATATATGGGGACATGAGTTGAATCTAGCACTGAAAAAAGAAAGAATTTTAGTCATAATATACATAACATTTTAGATTCTTTGTTACTTGACATTTAACAAAATAAGATAAAAGGCTAACCATGTATGACATGTATGGTCAGTTTATTTAATAATTAAAGTCACCATTACTTTTGTTCGTTTCTAATAAATCTAATTACCATCTAATAACCAAGTAAATGATTCCACAATTCTGAGTTTAGCTGTTAGTGTACCTTTTCACTGATTAAATTTTAAAGACACTTCTCATTTTTCCCATTTATCCATTGCTGTGTTTTCATGATACCAACTTAAATTGGGAAATATTTTAAGGTTAAGGGTAAAAATGTAATTTAAAGATAAAGCTAGGTTATGTCATTTGACTATTTGACTTAACTCTCAAAGTATGTGTGTGTTTTTGCTGAATATAAGGCATACTCTCCCTAAATTTGCTTGGGTCTATACACTTTCTAGCAAAATAATATGGGAACTGTAGAATTCATTTTTTCTGACTTTAGAGATGATGCAGATGGTAACTGTTCTGTTTTTCTTAATTTCTTCTACGTATCACAATTCATTGTGCTTCTAGTAAAGCAAAGGCATAAAGTGAATGCACGTATCCTTTTTGACTTACATATATCATTGTATTTTGGTATTCCATTTAAAGTTTCATTTATTATTTTTTGTAATTGTTTTGATTTAGAACCATATTTGAGGCAAAATTTAAATTTAAAAATAATACTTTTATGTACTTGTATTTAGGAACCACTTAGAAAATGTGCCTGAATGGGTATGTGAAAGCCGAAAGCTAGAAGTTTTGGATATTGGCCATAATCAAATATGCGACCTTCCTGCCCAGTGAGTATTATATATCAAGTGAGAGAATTTCAATTGATGGGCAATAAATAAAAATGCCGATTTAGTGTTTTACTTGTTATTATGAAACCCCTAAACTAAGAGTTTGTTTTAAACCTTATTTGGTGTCTTTCACCCCATGTGTCTTCAGAAGAGTAGATTTAGGCTTTGACTCTAAGGAATAAAGTTTCAAAATAGATGATTGTACTTGGTGGAAATTTTTAAATAAACCAAAAGAAATGTTCAGAAACGGGATTTGATTCATGTCTGAGGTCTTCTTTCAGAATCTTATATTTCTGTCTGCTAGCTTACGTTGTCTACCTTATCTATAAATAAATTTTTTTTTCTTAGAATACAACTTGTTATTAATGTGGGGTGGGAGGTGTCATTAGATCATTAAACCTTGAAAGAGCAAATAGATTTTTTCCCCCTTTGTGAAATTTGGACTAAAAGATCCAAGAACATCTCTTTTTTTTTTTTACTATTTGTTGTTATATTTCATAATTTTCACTTTAATAGCAGGATTTTCAAAATAGCCCTATGATGATTTCTAGTATTCATGAAGTCAAACTTTTTCTCTTCTTTTCCTTTCCTTTCCTTTCCTTTCCTTTCCTTTCCTTTCTCTTTTCTTTCTTTTCTTTTCTTTTCTTTCAAGACAGGGGGGTCTCACTATGTAGTTCAGGATGGCCTTGAACTCACTATGTAGCCTAGGCTGGCCTCGAACTCATGGTGATCCTTCTCCTGCCTCAGCCTCCTGAGTGCTGGGATTATAGGCGTGCGCCACCACACCCAGAAAACATTTTCAAATTTACTGTGGCAGACAATATTATTGGACCATTGGAGTAGACATGCAGTTAATAACCACAAAGTAGTCTGTCCCAGGGTTGTCTTGTAGCACTTTCTGTGATGACTGAAATGCTGTATTTCTGTGATATCCGGTAAGATATCCACTAGCCATATATGGCTCCTGAGCACTTGAAATGTGGTTAGTGTGATCAGGGAACTGAATTTTTAGTTTTATCTAATTTAATTAAATTTAATTAGCCACTTGTGCTAGTGGGTTATATAAGTCAGGTTTAGTTATTTCAAACATTTCCAGCAAGCCACAGAGCAGAAGAAGTCAGTTTTTCAGGGGTTTTTTGTTGTTGTTTTTATTTTAACCAGTGTATAGTAAAAACTATCAATGAAGCCATAGTAGAAGTATGTCATTTTGGAGTAACTTACTTTAGGTAAACTTTAGATTAGTATATGGTCTTTAAAGGTATATGATTAGTTTTCTTAAAAACAGCAGGGTTATGAAATATATCTGCTTGATGAGCCTGCTAAATGTGTTCAGAGTTGAGCTGTCTAATATGGTAGTCACTCACTGTAAGCCAAGTGGTTCTTGAGCACCTGAAATCTAACTAATTCTTTTTTTGTTTGTTTGTTTTTTGGTTTTTTTGGTACTGGGGATCGAACTCGGGTCCTTTTGCTTGCGAGGCAGGTGGCAGAACCACTGAGCTAAATCCCCAGCCCAAATCTGACTAATTCTAATTGAGAAATATTATAAACATGAAATATATACTACATGCAAAATAATGATATTATGTATTAAGTACATCATAAAAATATTTTTGATATATTGAGTCAAATCACTTTAAGAATCCCTTCCCCCATACTGAAAATTGAACCCACGGCCCTCAATCACTGAGCTATATCCTCAGCCCTTTTAAAAAATTTTTGCATTGAGACAGGGTCTTGCTAAGTTGCCCAGGCTGGATTCAAACTTGGGATCCTCTTGCCTCAGCCTCCTAGGTAAATAGAATTATAGGTGTATACCACTGTACCTATTCCTTTTTATTGTTTTTTTAAATGCAACTAATACAGAATTTAAAATTACATATAGGGCCGGGGATTTAGCTCAGTGGTTCTGGTGCCTGCCTCGCAACCGCAAGGTCCCAAGTTCAATCCTCGGTACCAAAAAAAAAAAAAAAAATTACGTGTGTAAAATTACATATGGAGCTTGCATTATATTTCTCTTGGTGTCTTAGTTACTTTCTCGTTACTGGGACAAAATACCCAACATCCACAAGTTGGAGGAGGAAAGGTTTATTTTATTTTAGCTCACAGTTTTGTGGAAGTTTTAGTCCATAGTCAGCTGGCTCCAAGGCAGGGTGGCAAAGGAGTAACAGTCCATGGCTTGGCAGGCAGGAAGCAGTGAAGCAGCCAGCCTTCATTTTTTATTCCATCCAGGCTATAAGCCTGTTAATTGGTGTCATCCACACCAAGGGTGGGTCTTCCCTCTTCAATAAATCCATTATCCACACCCAGATTTATGCTAAAGTAATCAGTGGACTACTCCAGTATCACACACCCATGATCCAGTCATCTCCCCAAATCCCCATCTCTGACTGAATGAGGTTTGGGGGCAGGGGGGGCATCCAGATATAAGCCATATGGATAACACTAGAGGACAGCTCTCAAAAGAAATTTAAGTTGCATTTTTAGTCCCTAAAATCCTCAGTTAATTTCTCTTTGTTCCTCCGCTATTATAACTATAAATTTGATTTATTTGAAAATGCTTTCTGCTCTAGCGTCTTTTCTCTTTCTGGTTTATGTTTTTATTAGTACATATTAGTTATACAGAATAGCGGGCTTTCTTCTGGCATATTTATATATGCATGTCACATACTTTGATCTTCTCCATGTCCTAGAGTCTTGTATTGGCTGAGCATTTAGGAGACCCCCTATGCTCATCATCATAGCAGAGAGGAGAGTGGGGAGATACGAGTCTCCGCACCTTAGTCTTAGATTGGCTTTTCATGAGTACAGGCTTTTAGGGAATCTAAACAAATGCTTTCACAAGATAAATGCCAAATGCCTTTCTGTCACAGAATTTAAAGGTGTGTGTGTGTGTGTGTTTTAACATGAGAAAAAAGTGTGTATTGTTTCTTATATTTAGCTACAAATTTTGTATGGGCCCTATTGATGATGTAATATTTGGGTAAAATAGTGATTCATTTAAATTCATTTAATATTTAAACTTTAGTTAAGGTATGTGAAGTTTTTAAAAAAATAAATTGTTTAGAAATGGAAATGTATTAAAGGGGAAATAGTTTTAATGATTAGACATTATCTAAAATAACTGAACTAAATCTTAATAATCAGCATTTAATACTCATCCTATAGTTGATCAAGCCTACTTTTTATTTGGAAAAATCAGGATAATGATTTTTTTCACCGTCTTTCAGTGATCCGTGTATTAAGGATAAAGAATACATAAAAACTAAATGAACCAAAAAAACCCCCCAAAAAACCTAAATGAACCAAGTGCTGAATTATTGGACTTGAGTGACTTACAGAGACTGTCCCATATCAATTGTCACTGTACAAATGGCCTGGATAATCTGCCCTGTTACACTGATAGCTAAATCTGTAAAACCAGATATGTTATCTTTAATGGTAGTTGGTGATGTCAGGGCAGGGAGTGAGACAAGTTGCTAGCATCTTTGTGCGGAAAGAATGTACTTTTGATATTTAAAGTGTAAAGTTCTATATGGTGACTTTTAACAGTTGTGAATCAAAGAATATAAAATTGCTGAAAGTAGATTTTAAATGTTCTCACCGCAATATAATGATAAGTATTGGGGCAGGGGATGTAGCTCAGTGTTCCAGCACTTGCCTGGCAAGTGCAAGGTCCCAAGTTCGATCCCCGGTACCAAAAAAAAAAGAATGCTAGGGTGACATGTGTGGCCCAGTGCTGGGTGGCTGATGCATTTTCAAGTCATAGTCCACAAAATAATGATAAGTATATAACACAGTATATGTTAATTAGCTTGATTTAACCATTCCATAATGTGTACATATAATGTGTTTAACATTATATGTGTGTGCAATTAGGGATGAAAAGGGTGAAATTACAACAGACCCAGAAGAAATCCAGAGGATCATCAATACCTACTTCCAGAACCTATATGCCAATAAGATGGACAACACAGAAGAAATGGAC